GTTAAGGTCATAGGTTTGGTTGAACCAATCGTTGGCAAATGCTTTGTCGACTAAGATGTTGATAGTCTCATTTAAAGGTACGTTTGTGAAAAGGGATGCCAAAATGTCGTCATCTCCAATGGGTGAGTTGCGGATTTCTTCAGAGAAACGAATGGCATCGGTAATGGTGTACTCGTTAATGGAGAGTGGTTTCAGTTTTTCCTCCAACCATTTAGCCAGGTTGTAATTGTAGGTTCCAGTTGCAGATAAAATAGGCCTCATACTAAGATTGGCTTTGTGGGTCTTGGGAAGACCGTAAAGGTGAGCAAGTATGGAACTCTTGGGGCAAAGTGAATCAGCGATGTTCCTTGATTTATGACCAAAATTAATGCCTGACACAAAAATTAATTCGGTGCAGTATTTTTAATTTCGAAAATACAAGAAAAAAGGGTGCACGGTCGTTAATCCTGCTGTAAAATCCCAAGGAAGAGTGTTTAGTTCTTCCTTCAGAATGAAACATTTTCATCGTAAAAATATAGAGTGAAACTCTATATACAAGTAGCTGGTTCTATAAGAGGCAGCGGTTCGTGTCCGGAATGGTTAGTGTGTTGGGAGATTTGGGCAGAACTGGCCCGGGTTGTTCGAAAGGTGGATAACGCTATCCACAGGATAAATCACTATCCAGTCTATAACGTGGTTTGTTTTGTTAACACTTACCCGCTGGGTAGCAATTTATCCGGTGGATAGGCTCTTGGTAATGAAAGCAAACATGTCCCGGATGAAACTTCCAGGTTTGCCGTTTCAAACAAACAAAAAACTACTTATGAAGTAGCAGCAGCGAACAAAAACACACGAAAAACACAACCGAATCTCGACTTCGCACGTACTTGGAGTGGGCTATTTGCGGTCGCTGTATTACTAAAAGGAAACGTTTTTTTCCGAAAAAATTGGCAGCCATTCGTGGAAATTACTAAAAATTCTGATCTGTTCAGGCGAACAATTAATCTCTTATTGTCTCCAGAAAAAGACCGATTTCTAACTACGCGACTTCAACGAAAGGGAAAGTGTCCTCTGTGACCAAATCAAGTTTAATGAAATTGTACTTACATCAGCAACACTACAATAGCGGCATCTCGCTAGTCACTGAGCTAATGTTAACGGCATCTAGTTGAAAAATTGGTTGCCGTCTGCAGAAAATTATAAGATTTTGTTATCAAAATCCTGCAAAAAGACCACTGAAAACATTGGGTAATGTTTTTAAGAATTATTATGTACACAGATCGCTCAAGCAGTTTTATTTATGTTACCATTTGCTAAGTACTTCAAAGATCCTCATAGATAAGGAAGAAATAAATAAATAAATAAATAAATAAATGAAATAATAAATAAGGAAATCTGTGAATAAATAATTTTTCGTTTATCATCTCTGAAAAATGCGTAGCTACCCTCAGCTTTCTTTTTGGATTTCAATAGGCGCCCCTGCTGAGATTTTCTTTTTCCAGATTGTCCTTTATATCGGTGGAAAATACCGGCCATTGTATTAGCTAGGCACCGTCCTTAATCCAATTTATATTTCGATACGGCCATTTTAGAGATACCGAACAACATGCGTTCACCAATTTGTTTGTCAAGCTAGGACATAGCTACTTTGACAATTACAAACGTTACTCTGATTGGATGCTGTCGCCAATATGTGAATAAAGGTAAAGTCTGTATGCGAGCCAAGTGGCCCATCAGGCCGGAGCTTATCCCGGTTTCTGTAGCATGAAGCGACTAAGAGTATTTCTACTCCCCCCTGGATGGGATGCTACTCCATCGNGGCTCGAACCCGGACCGCTCGATCCGGAGACGAGCGCACTAACCTTGAGGCCACCGCGCCTCCCCAATATGTGAATAGATCACCCTTAAACTGAAACGATACCGTCTCGTTTCTGAGAAAACGGAACAAGAAAACGTGGTTTTGAGACAAAGCTACTCCACAAAACGTGACAAACAACTTAAGTAGCCAAATATCACTGGAACATCTACTCGACAACTACCGATTAACTACGAAAATGGCCGATATCCTCACCTACATCGGACGATAACCTACGAAAAAAGCCGAATTCACTGACTTGTTTACGCTACGATGGCATTATTTGGCTTCGTCTCTAAAGATACTGTAAGCGTAAAAAAATTGCAAAACATGCATGATAGGAGAGATTTATTACTATAGCAACATTCTTTTTATAAAAAAATTAACCAATCGGTCACCAAAAACACCGTGGTCCTGAGGAAAATGGTAAAAGGCATTTTCGTTAACAGTGATTTTACAGCAATGTTTGGCGTGAAATCTGCAGTGACTGAAACTTAAATTTCCATGTGGTACCGCATGTCTAACAGCCAGGATTTACTATAACTCTACCGGACTATTACTTATAGGGAAATCTTGGCTGACGTCAATGTTTACGGCAGCTGTCACTTGAGTGTGGAAAAGTAATTGATTTTGCTACAGCACTGGCTTCGTTGAAATAAATTCTTCAATCGACTGGGTGGGTTTGATATTGAAAGAGATATTGATTTTCAAAAATTGCAAAATTTCTGGATGGCAAAAGCTCTAATGAGTCCAAATATTAGTTGTGAACTTTTAAGTTTTAAACCCACCTCACACAAAAAGTATTTAATACTTTGGTCCCAAATTTCTTGCGACCCTTAATCGTGTCATAATTTCATCTTTTAGAGGTGATATTTTTGTAGTTTGATCAGAAAGTGAAGAGCTTATGCTAATGAGATAACTATTGTAAACAAAGATTCCTCTATTTGACTTTATATAACGCTATTAACTGCTATTACCAGATTAGGCTCTCGCATGTGCTCCACCCAGCCACATATGGTTTCAGTTAGAGCTTTTACTGTTCTTAATTTCGATTATATAATTTGTTAGGATAAGCATTTAACAATATAATTGCATAATTCAGTTTCAGTTGCGTAAGATTTACACTGATCATCCCCTTTTGATACAAAATCTCCCTCAAGTTCTATCAGTATCGACTCTTTCCAAACTGAACTGAACGCAAGACGTACGGATTTGAACGCCAAGCTTACGTACTGGGAAACGGCGTGTGCATCCATAAGGTATTCCGCTGGACCGCTGGGAAATTGTGTCACGATGATATGTTTTTGTAGACGGTATCTCCGCTTGATCCTGAACATACTTCGAGGGCGACGGTCTTCTTATTGGGTTTGGATGGGATTCTGTTGTCGACGAACTTCTCACTGAGACTGGGAGCATTCCTGGTGTCAACGGCTCTTGAAAAGATGTTGATGCCGACAGTGTTTCAATTGGGCCTGCAAGGGGTAATGATATCCGCAGTTGTTGAGCGGATGCTACTACTAAGGGTTCTGGAAGGGATGATGTGAGAGTATTCCCATTACTGGGCCGGGTCGGGGTGGAAATGCGGACGGTTCTGGAGGCAGCACTGATTTCCATGGCTCCGTCGGAAGGGGTGCCCATTTCGACGGCTCTGGAATAGACATTGACATCGACGATTTTCCCATTAGGCGCACTGGAACCCGTGCTGACGATACTTGGTCTGGAAGGGATGCTGATGGCGTTGGTCTCCCCACTATGCCTGGTTAGGGATCCTTGATGGTTTGCAACAATCGCTCTATCATTTACAAAGTTGCTTGCACATCTGAATACCATCCGCCTCATCATTTTTTTAACACTTTTTCGAAAGGCCTGTTTGCGGATTGAGTAGATGATTGGGTTAGCCATAGAACTGACGAGGTAAATAGCATTAGTGAACTTGACAGCCATAATTGGAACATCCTTCATGAACTGACGGCAAATATTTACGATCCAGAGGGGGATATAAAACGCCAGAAAAGCACCAACCACAAAACTCACATCAACAGCTGCTTTTCTATCAAAGATTTTTCTGGTCGTTGCCTCATTCTGACCTTTATTTTGGTTCAGCGTGTGCTGGATTTCTAGATCGGCTTGTTGCACTCTTCTTGCTGTTTTGAAAACAGACCAGTTCAGGTACGAGATAACCAGGAAAGGCAAGGCGAGACCGAAAATGGCATAAAAGATCAATCTTTTCAAGTGCGCATCGCTCTGGACCGTCCATCCTTGTTCACAAACGTACAACTTCGGGTTGTAGACGTAGGTTCCCCAACCAAAAAATGGGCCCATGCAGAATGGAATTGGAATGATCCACAGCAGTGCCAGAGACGTCCCTTTCCGCAGAGTCATGATGCCATTGTATGTAAAGGGTTCTTTTACTATCGCTCTGTATCGCTCATACGACACAGCAACCAGGTGAAGAACTGTGTTAAGGTAGAAATACCTGGAAAAGAAAGCCAGCAGATAGCACATTGTTTCACTGTACAGCCATTTCTCCTGAATCATGCAGTCAAGATTGTATGTGTTAGTAAGAATCAGACCGAGTAGGTCCGAGACTGCCAGGCTTGCCAACAGGATATCACACATAATATGCAATCTACTCTCCACAGAAACCGTCACAACCACTAGAAGATTTCCTGAAAGACCAATCACGGCCACAATGGCGCGGAAAGCAACAATAAGCTGAGTAATGACCATGTCTGTTCCTAGGAAAAACTGCTTCGTCCAGCAACATATACGTACGATCACGTATTCTGAACATCAGTCGTGTTATGTAGCGCGAGTTATGACTTCACTAAATTTTATTACTGCCGAAGCTAAGTCTTTAAAAAGCAGTTTTGAAAGCGCTTTGTTTGGAAATGAGAAATGGCAGTAGTAAACAAAGACGCACTTGATCGATTTTGCATAATAATTTACATTTACGTGCAAGCGTTGGTAATTTCGGATGCCTCGTATTTAGAAACAATGAACTGAAAAAAGCATTTGAGTAAAAAAAGAAAAACGTAAAAATCATCACCGTGAAAAGAAATATCGGGAATTTGCGATAAATGTCGCGGGATGTCATGAGCGATAGACGGTGTAAAGAGTAAATAGTGATCAGTGGTGTGGGGTAATTTATTGAAGAGAGTTTTCAGCGCTCGAGGACGGCTAAAAGCGACAGCATGGCAAATAAAAACATTTGTCTTTATGAATTAGAGTTCAAAAAAGTTTTAGCAAGTAATTATTTTCGTTTAATCCCACTTTGGTCCATAGACCGTGTACTCCGCACGCATCTCTGGTAACAGACGATATTGCTCTAGGAATTTTCAAGAACTAGGCAACATGTAAAAAATAAAAATGATTTTTTTTCTCCTGTGGGAAGCAGCCAGGTACGAACATATGCTAACGATGATAATTATGTTGTAGATTATCGAGTGTAAAGAAACTGCCACTTTGACACTTCAACCTCATTGTGATCGATATAGGGCCATAATGGAAACTACACCCTATTGAAATAAAGTGTCATTAATTCATTCACCGATAGAGTGTAAATTACGAAAATGAAACTCAAAAGAAAATGGTACAAATCACTAAGTAATGTATCGAAGATATATTTTCTTTCATTAAAAGATGGCGAGAAACACATTTTATCCTCGTAAAAATATAATAGTTGGACTTGTGATCGTCCGGGTGGGGGTAGTTCTGAAACGAACTGTTGTTGGTGACTGACGTTTCGACAACCTGGGCGGAAGTCATCAACAGAGTCAAATGAGAAAGACTCAAAATGAGGGAGTTAAAGCAAACCACATCACGATCGACAACGGGAGCAGGGGCGCTCTCCCGGCATTTAACCCGGCAAAGATTTCGAGACTTTTGAACCCGAAAATTGTTTAATTCCCGAGATGTGAACCATCCAAACGAAAATTCTAGAAATTCCGGGAGGAAAATCAAATGGAAGGAAACGGTGATAAGAATATTTTCAAAAATTTGGGTACACTTCGCGAGGTAGTTCTCTTTCCCGGAAAAACTGGAAGATACTGTTCCATTAGGCTCGATTTCATCTGCGAGCCCACTGTTCCATTCGCCACTGGAAGTTTCGAGTGATTCAAATCATAATTTTAGGTCGACTGATGGAACGTGAGCGGGAACTCCACGGAACAAAAGGTAAAGTACAGTGGCTGTGCACGTGCGTACATTTCTTTGCCGTCCTCTACAAAACAACAAAGCGAAATGACCAAATTACGTGAAGTCAAAATAACGTGAGCCACGACGGCCAATTTTTAAATTTAGTTTTTCTTTTCCGAATTTCAACGCTGTCTTACATATTCAGTTTTGGGATGGCTCTGATAGTAACAGACAAACTGAATGAATCTAAATTATTGCCGAGATTCGTAGGTTGAATATAAATTTAATATTTGAATCGACAGTGCACGTCCTCAGCGTTAATTACCATCGTAGTTGCTGTAAACTCCTTAGATATCTTTACCGTGGATTAATAGAGCAATGGTATGGAGAGCAGGCCATTTTATTTATAACGTAATTTCTACAGAAAGAACGACACATATTTTTTAGCCAGGCTACCCAGTATCAGATGTGCTGTATTCTTTTTACCTATGAATGATTACACCCGTCTATTTCTACCACAAAGCTTGTTCTTAAGAGGCCGTCAGATTCAAAAGGACATCAGTTTTTCACCCGTCCTCTGAATTCGCTAAAAACTCACTAATATTGAGGGTCTCAGAGAAACAAAACTCACTGTTTCCCTTCGGGCCAGTCATTAAGTCCTTATTGTTTTATAGAAAACACAGGTTAGGTAACTGTTTTAATTTCTAGGTTAGTTACTACGATTATCAGTTGAGTAAGGCACGAGGGACGTTTGGTTACGAAGTTTTGGCCTTAAAATTATATGTTGTCACGGGCAACTTACCTCGTTTCCGTTGGTAACAATATCAACAGCCGTGCGTCGCCTGTCGCGTCGCCTACAATTTCGCGCGCTTTGCTGCCGATGACGTCAAAAGCCGACAAGTTGCCAATGGATACAGAGCCAGTTGCTCGTGACAACAACACGATTTTTACGTTAAAACTTGGTGACCAAACTTTTGTCCCGCCTTACTCAACTGATCGTAGTATAATTGACGTTACAATCAGAACTTTGTGCTTTGTCTGAGTATTGTATCGAGAAAGAGACGGAAGCTTCTTTGCGAAAACTATTCCGCTTTACGTTACGTTTACTATCCACGCGTACAAAAAGGGCAGTCGGTAAGCAGTGATGTTTTTTCACTTTTCATAGTTTTATTTCTATGCGTTTTTACTTCGACTATTGCCAGTTTTTCTTGCGTTCGTGTATTTATGTTACGCAACTATTGTCCATCTTGGCACTTTCAGTACTTTCAGGCCTGGTTCATACGTCGCACTTCTGCCATGTTGAAATCGATTCAATCAAGCGCAGCAGAAATGCGACTGCCGATTCATACGTCGCACTTGTGTCGCACTAAATTCAGAATTAATACTGTCGGGTATGTCGGTCAGCGGAAAATGTTTTAAACGTAGAGTGTTCAATATGGCGGACGAAGATACTGAGCGACGAAGGACTTTAATTTTGCGAAAACCTGTCCGCCAATGGAACGAGAAGGAGAAGGCTGACAATGTAGCAGTATGTGCTGCAATATTTTCAGTTAAAAACTCAAGTTTAAAAAACTCCAAGTTGTCCTTGTAAACAAGTCGTCTGAACAGATCGCGTCTAGAATATCAGCAACAGGATTATCGAGCTACTGCGCCCTCCTGCCAGGTAGCATTGGGACGAGGGACGAAATTTACGCATGCTCAATACATTAACATGTATTGGACTCGACACGGCAGAAATTCGGCGTTTGAATCGATGTCGCATTTCTGTCGGATAATGTAACAAGACCAGTCGAACGTGCGGCAGAAATACGGTAGAGACGAACATGATAACTCTGGCAAAATTTTGCTGTGACGTACGTTTCGTTATTCCAATTTTTGTTCGTTCGTTTGTTGAATGGCTTCTTCAGGCTGTTTCAAGCACCATTGGTTTTGTTCACGTGATTTAAAAAAGTGACACGTGATGACAAGCATCTCTTGGCGCGGATTGCCACAGTTTGTAGCACGGCTGTTGCAAACTCATCGAAAGTACCAAGTTCGAGGCAAGTCTTATCCATGTTATGGATTTTGCATCTGTCGAACTCTTCTCTGCAACATATCTTGGATTGCATCTTGTTAGAAAGTGCGAAAGTCAACAAACATCAGTCACTCATCACACGATCATCGCGTGATCACTTTTTTGGAATCACGTGAACGAAACCAACGGTGCGTGCAATGGCCTGAAAAAAAAAAACCATTTCAACAGACGTCCGGGATCAAGAGAACATCTTGATCGGAATAGAGCTGTATGACATTTTTCTCATACCTCTTGGCCTTGAGTGTTACTTATTACAGGAAATTTTCGCCCTTCTCGCGACTCTCTCAAATCAAATTTATGTCGCTATAAATAAAGAAATGTATGTATATTTTAAGTAAAGTAGAATTCAGTACAACAACGACAACAACACCAAGCAGCCTTGATTGTTGATCAATAAAACAAAACTTAGAATACAGTTCGGTTCTTTTATTTTATTTTCAACTCACTTTATCCACTTGAAATCGTTTGATCTGTCTGAGTAAATCATAAACTTTGAAACAACCAAACAAAGTGAAGCGAAATCGCAAAATAAAGTTCTTTTTCTCACATACTGGCAAGTCGAAAACTGCCGTTCAAAAAGCGGTGTATGATTTGGCAAACTGCAGACTACAGGCGTTCCAGAATTCTTTGTTATTGATCAAGTTAGCCATTGCATCTAACTCGAATCTAACAGTTCGTCGTCTTCTTAGGGCGACTTAAAACGGGCTGGTTATTACTGCTGCACTCCAACAGCATTTTGCCAACCACACATTCTTCTAACGGAAATCCTGAACTCTCTTCTACGCCAGAAATAAATTACAGGATTCAGTGCGGAAGTTAACAGAACAATCGTGTTTGCAGCAAACCAAAGCAAAGTCACCACTCGTCCACGCACATTATAAAACTTGCGCGCAGTGAATGTTGCTATGAGCGCCAAATTACACAAAATCATAATACCAATGATAAGCACAATTGTCTTCGCTGCCTTGGTATCACGTGCGGTATTACCGCGCACCCCTGTGTTTTCCGAACTTTCCGATGGCGGGTAACTTTGTAAAGAATTTTCAACCAGGCGAATGAGCGCTGAATGTCTCCGAGCTTCTATCCACAGCCGGATGTTTATTACAAGAACCACTAAAGCACTGAAAATAACAAACGCCATACGTGAGTAGCCTATGAGGCCCCCTCCATGCTCGCGTCGAGTGAAAATGGTCAGCAGCGCCCATGAAATCCAAAACACCAAGAAAACTACCAGAACTTTCTTCTTGGTTATAAAGCGATGATGTTTAAAAGGATGAACTATGGCAATGGAACGTTCAACGCTGATTAAACAAACGTGCAGCATAGAAGCCGACGAAAACAAGAACAGAAATATTACATACAAATCTTTGAATGTGCAAGCTACGCCTGAATTAGCAGCGACTAAAGCTGTTTCAGCCACAAACAAAGGTTGAGTAACTAAGCCGACGAACAAGTCACAAAACGACAAACCAAGCAAGAGCAGGTTGGATGGTGTTCTCAGTGATTCAGACCGATAAAAAGTTGCAATAATCACACAGTTACCAAGAATGGCTAGAACGGCAAAGAAGGCGTTTGCAGACGAGATGAAAGCGCACACCGCTCGAAATTCCGCAAACGTAATGTCGTTTCCCGTTTGTACTTGTTTCAACAGGGAACAAAGCTGGTTTCCTGAGGAGCTTTTTGTGTCTGCTAAGTTCTCTTCCGATAAGCTGTTGTTCATTTTCTCCTTGCAAGCTTTCGAGTCACACTGTACTGCATACCTGTTTTGCTTTGAATGTTTCAGCATACGGCTGTTGTCTCTTAGCTTCGGTCATCCGCTACTGAAACGAAATTCCAACTTAAATCACCGTTCCCTTGTTCTCCATCTACACTTGCTGATTGCCAGACAAGAGAGTTACCAAGAACTCCGCTTAAAACGCAAAACGTGTTTAACTTTGAAGTCGTTGACGTGCTTGAATAAGCAATTTAGCTTCGAAAACATTTACAACATCCTTTAGAGCCTTCAGATTAATGACCTTCGTTATCTTTACATGCATCTCATTGATTGTTTTAAAAATAGATTTGATCTATCGCCGCAGGAGAACCTGAATTGATTATACAGAAATATCGGGAGGAGGCCACAAAAAACGGCGAATCTAGCAGGGAAGGCGACTCTCGAATCGATGTAAGTGCCCGCTATACCCACAAAGCGATGAAGAGGTTAAATTTCTTTATTTCAAAACTACTATAGCAGACTGAGTCGAACTCTGAATTAAATGGCCGCTGAAGAAGTATTACTAGCCTTTGTTCCAGCGCTATCTTTCTTTCTCTCATTAGCTAAATGTAGCACAAATAAAGAAAACCTTTGGGAGCAGGGAAGGTGAGTCCATTCCAAATAGAGAAAATGAAATACACTCTTTTTCTAAGAATATTGTTTTCTCGGCCCTGGCTGAATATTCTTATTTTTCTGCCGATTTTAGGCTTAGAATGTTCTTGTGAATATTCTTAAATTAAAGCGCATGACGTTGCTGTTTTAGAATGTTTGGGGGCATCAAATACTATCAATCACAAGTGTTTGGTGTCTAGATGGCGTTGAAGTAATTTTGGAGCCAGACTGTAGGCAATAAAACCTGATGTGACACACATAACTTCTTCAGAAATGTATTAGCATCGAACATACGGCTAGTGCTCTTTTTGTTTTTGTTCTGTTTTGTTTTCTTTTTTTGGCTACGGTTTAGTTGAAAAGTATAGTTGTATTGTATTTACAAATTTTCAACACACAAAATTATATTCTTTTCAAACTCTCAGCTTTGGTTTTATTTGTAAAATATTCTTAAAATTTTGCACATTTCAGCCGATATTCTTATAAAATATATTCTTTTATAAAAAAAAGTGTTCATCGTAACCCGTTTCGAGAACATACAAACCATAGAATATTTAAGAAAGAATAATTTGGAATGTAAAGGCACAAAACAAGATAAAGTTCCTGTCAAACCACAATCAAATAAAAAATATTGGATGCTTCGGTACATTTGATTATATTGGAGCACCAGTGTTGATTGTTTCCTCTTACAGTTCCCGCAGACATTAAAACTGACCACAAACTTGGCAATTACCTACGCTGCGATAATTTTGAGACATCGAGCAAACATGAGTAAAACACGGCTTCGCCAACATTTACCGCAAGTTCAGAGTACAATATTGTGAAGTTTAGATAAATACACTCAGGTCACGGACAATATGCACGCCGATGCACGCCTATTGCTTCTTCTAGTCCCAGTCCCACTCCCCCCAACTACTTTATCAGTAAAACGCACCAAAATGCACGTTTGAAATTGTTCGGTTATGTCGTCTCTTGGCGACATGAAGTCTGTCAACTGACTACAACATTAAGAACCAGCTGGTGTCTTCTTTGTCTAAATTCCTCTGTCCTGAGAATGACAAAATTAGTTTTATACACAATGGAAAAACAAGCAAGCACGAAAGGAACGCTGTTGAGTTAATTAGTTTTTAACAAGCTGCAGAACTCAGTAGGATGTCAAATATTTTGCAACGAATTCTGTCTTTTTCTTGCACGCACATTGGAAATATTTAAAGTTTCCTTATTGGACCAAGTTTAACTTTTAAATTAACTGAATAATCGTGAACAGACACTTCAGCTCCAGACACTTCTAACTCGCTAAACACTATTTTAAGAAGTTATTGTTAGTTAAATAACACAGTTATGATTATATGTAAGTTAATCGGATGACGGCACAATTAGGACAAACGATTTGGAACATGGTCTGTGCTCTACTCCGTTCTTCTAAGTATTCGATAACAAAAACAGAGTTTTGTAAATGTTGTCCGTTAAAATAAAGTGGACGAAAATTCAAATTTTCAAGAAAGACTTTTCGGTTTAATGGCTATGAATGGAGTTCAGTTCTGTCTGTCATGATACGTATTTTTACATAGCAGGAAACGAATAGCTAATGAAACTTTTTCACTCTCCCGTCATCGACAAAGAAAAATTAGTTAATTCGAAATTCAATGATCACTCCGAAAGAACAACAATGATAACTCCGGTGACTGAGAACTGAAAGCAGTATCTCTCCATATCCCATGCTTAGCAGCCAATCAGAACGCCAGTAAGCCATTGCATATTACCCTGGTCGTATATTGCACTCTGCTTCCCGGCATTTGTCACCTGTCTCGGGATTAATGGCGGTTTGCGTTTGAAACAAAATGTATATAGGAATGGGTCGAAACAGCCTCGGATCTTTGTGTGAAGTCCACGGACATATTCAGGAATGCTTTGAAATGATCGAAAATGATCACAAATGTTGGAAGTCTTTGTCGGCGCAAATTGTTTGTCTTCTGGAAACGAGTTCAAGTTCAGGAACATGGCACAAATGAGCCACACGTGATCGGGTTGACACGGAATATTAGAGAACTGAAGAAACACGAATCAAAGTAGTGCCAGAAACTACATATGTACACGTAGCAGACTTACATGAATCGACTTTCGATCAATCAGTATCAATCTCCAAGCGACGAAATCGCGAAACCAACACACCAGTAATAAGGACCTACACAGAAAGTCTTGAAACTGGCCGTAAAGTACATATAGCTACAGGTAACTGAAGGCAAACCGATAAAATGAACTGGATGGCTTTATAGTTCAGCATAACCTTTGAGCAAATGTTCAGGAATAAGTAGCAGTTCTGCCAAAACATTCATTGTCATCTTCCAGTTGTCGAGGTAAAAACCTAGAAAATAGACAACGCAAAAATCACACAAAGTCAGCGAGATAACACACTAAGTTCCACATTCAGAGAGAATTTAGTTTTGGATACACAGTTTGAAACAGGTAGTAAAGTATGAATTTTTTTTACCTTTCTCAGCAGATCTTTGCTGAGTGATTTTCCTGTTTCTTTCGGTGCGGATTGTTCAGGGATAATCTTTTTTGTTTTGGTGTCTTCTATGGCTTGATGCTGCTTGAAAGTTCTCAGTCTTTTTTCAACAGGTTTCTGTAAACAAATGAGAATCACATGTGCTTAAGTTTTCAAATAAATAAATAAAGTTAATGTTGGACATAACAAAGTTTCTACATTTTTTTATAACTGTAACCTTCAGTATGGACCTTGAAGCCGTCAAACAAAATTTCCTGATATTTTCCAGATCAAACATTTAGGCTTCTTTCCACACAGCGGTCAAAACAGAACTATTGAAATAAAGTGTATAAATAATCAATTCAACGCCACTTTACTTACAGTTGCACTCGCCTTAAGTTTTGTACAAATTTTAAGTAATACATCACCCACGACGGACGATGTTTCACCACATTTTCGACATCAAGAACAAAGTTGGAAATACCACGCGAAGCGGACTATTTTTTATGTACTTCAAGGTGTTTGCAAATGTGGCTAAACACTGTCTTGAGTGTTTGATATATCTTCTCAACTGAAACTAAAACTAAGGAGAAAACGGAGAACTAAAATCCTAAAAATCTATGTTAATTAAGATCAGATATCCAAACACAGTGACTGGTATGATTTCCTTTACTTAAACTTGATGGATTGTGAAATATGAGAGAACACATAACAAAACGTTGCAAAAACAATAGCACTCGACAAGCAATTTACCAGCTGACAAGCTGAATTATCTTGGATTCCCCAAAATGCTTTTAACTTTCTTATCTTTTTCAACCTTCTTATCTTTAAAGTTTGAATTCTGTTGAGATTGTGCACTAATTGTTTGACTGCTGTAAGGATGGGGGTCCATTTAACCTCTGCTTGATCAGGGAGCTGAGAATAAAGCATGTTCAAATATCTGTGGGATATGCAGTGAAGTTGTCTATACATGACTGTGTATTTTTACTCTGAGTGAATTGGGGGTATACAGTATACTGTAGTCTTACCTGATCAGCCCTCTTTCTTTTCCTTGTTTCCATGGCATCTATAGCTTTTCCTTTCTCCACATTTTGTAAATAAAAATTGGCCTCCTTTTTAGCTTGGGATATTTCCGTTCTCATTCTTTGTTCCTTTGTAGCTTTCTCATAAGCTACGAGATAAAAATAACATTCAAGATAACATACTAAGATTAGATTAAGTGTATTTAGCATGTCAAACTACATGTCCCTTGTACATAAACAGCCAAAAACTCTGTTAACAGGCACATCTCATGAGCACACACTTGCTGTAACCTACATTTAAACAATACAACGTTTATTTGTTACCCTCCCATAAAATAATGAATATACCTATTAAGACCTAGGTAGACCCTTTTTGGGATCTCAAAAGTATCCACACATGAGAGGTTTGACAAGGCAACAAGACTGCAAGTGCACTAAAGTGTAATACATGCCGAGTATGACTTAAAGTAAACATACATTGCATGTGCGACTACTTAAAGAGGGAATCAAGATTTAAAGTACTGTCTACAGAAAGGCTTAATCCACACTGGTTAATCTAATGCAATGAAGAAGTTGATTTGTACATTATACTCAGTAAAAACAATACAGACTATGAAGATGTTGGCATACCAATCTTTTCACTGAGATGCCCCCAAAGGAATTTTGGAAGATATTTTATATTCCAGATGTCATCATGGTAATATCCTCCTTTCTTTCCCCCTGTAAATAATAATTCAACTTTTTTTTTAGTGTGGGTAAAGTCTAACTAAACAACTCAAGACAAGATAGTTAATGAATCAATTGTATAATAGTGACCAACCTCTTTCACCCCTCCTTAACACTAAAATAAGACAGTTTTACCCCAAAATTTGACAGGGCCTGGTTAAGATGAGAAAGGATTGGGACAAGACACAGGTGCATCTAGTCTGGCCCAATGCATTTTCACACATACCATCATTCTGTGTTCATATTGATGTTAAATAGAAAACGTAAGCTGCAAGCAGTCGACTCCAAAAAATATATGACTACTTTCTTTATAACCACACCCTGCATCCTGTCTTTTTACACTCCGAATGATTGTTATTGATCAATGTCTTTGCCCTTTTGTACTTATAAAGGGGCTGACATTTCATTTTCTTCTTGTCTGACTTGTAATTGACATGGTCACTTTCTGGGAGTGAAAACTTGCTAGCATTTCATATATTATTATAAAAGGTGAGTGTCTTCGAGATGCATGTAAAAACTCCATGAAGGTTCAATTTTGTGGGCAAGTCCAAACTTTCAGGCATTTAGTGTGGTACTTTTTGCTGGTTTTCAAGAAAGAAAGACCCTCAAAAGGAGGTTTACACTACAAGTTACTGGGAGGGGGACTGAGTACCAAGAATGTAGATTTACAGCTGGGAGCCTGGAAAAATACCCATCTTCCATGAATTTTACTGGTTGACAAGACTGGGAGACAAGGAAGTTGAGTAAATTTTAAAAGGCATTTCCCTGACTACTACCCACCTATGACAAAAATATTTCCACTTGTTTCAAATCTTCAGTTACATCCCTAGGTAACACCTTATACATGTATCTGCTCGTGTGTTTGTACCACAGTTGAGGTGCTATATGTGACCTTTAAACTGTGATGGCTTTCTGAATAGTCGTTTTAGTCCTATACTGTAAATTAAACCATATATGTATGTTTCTTTGCCCAGTAAATGTTTCTTATCATTCTGGTTATCTAAGTCAGCTGAAATCTGTAAAGGTACTTAATATGTATGTTCAACAGGTGTTCTAGTAAATTATGTTGAGAAAAAATTTAATTAAAACTTCCCCTATCCTTTTGTCTGACATGGGGGATAACACTTTAGTGTAAGATTGGTTATCTCCATAACAAAATTGAGTATTTATGTTCTAAGAAGAGAAGTGGATCCCTTAAGCATTTAGCAACCCCATCCAACCCTCCATCCAAACTTTTCCTAATAGCATTTCCTTTAAATCTCCTCTTGGATCTGGCAATGACTATCCCCAAAGCTGATCAGTTAGTAACTACTTCAAGACAATTACCGATAGGTGTATTGTTCAAGCTTTGTGCCACAGCTTTTGCAATGCATTTGTCTTTAAATTCAATCCATCCTTCAGTGAATAACTTTCTTCCACTTCCACCATGTTTCTTCCTCTTTTTTCTTACAGAGACATCTAGAAACCAACAAAACAAATAAAACTGATTTTCAAGAAGCATTCAAATAACAGACCTGAAGAGACTTACAAATGGAAAAGTGTTAAGAAACACTGTGTAAAAGCAATGAATGAGTGTTCCATTGATTTGGTTGCTCATAATAATAGATAGTTAACAACTGCCTCATGAATTGGAGGTAGGGAGCCCGAGGCATCCAGGAGCTTCCACTATTGGCAGCCAGCCATGGTAACCCAGCCATGAGGAATCCTGGCACATGCGCAGATCTAAACGCCACTGATTGTGAAGCAAGACTTGCGCTCCTTGTTGTTAACCCTGTTAAATTACAATTAATGTCGTTGTTCCTAGTGAAAGTAAGTTAACCGTGGTGACTTGCAATTGAACCAGAGCTATTATATTAATCAAATACAAACAACTTGTGATGGTGTTAATGGGGGAACACTGCCTTGCGTTTCGTTAGCCCGTGCAACTTCTGGTGATTGCGTGACAAAACAGCCTTTCTTATCTCCCCAGCACTACGAGCTGAATGAAAGACAGCATGTGCTGGATCGGACAAGAGTATCGGTTAGCAAGTGATGTTCAAAGGCGACGAAAAAACAACAAGCTTGGGGGAAGTCGCTGTGCAGACTTAACCGCACCACACAGGAGTGACCCTTTGTTAATTATGCAGGAATACATGACCGGACTCAGGCTAGGACTGTCCATCGCTGACATTAAGAACACAGAAAACACAAGGATAACCTAATAAAGACGTATCTACGCTTTTGCAGCGGTTAAAACAGAAGAAATTACGTTTAGAAACACCTTTTGTCCTGATAAGCGTCTGTGCTTTTTAGCGGAAAAATCCCATCCCCACGTTGCTGCGAGGTTGACTGCGAGATACTGGGTACCCTATTTGCTACGATTTGCCACTATTTGCCACTATCCGAGACTGTTCGCCACTATCCGCACTATTCGAGACTATTCGTTCTATTCGCTATTCGCTATTCGGGACTATTCGCTGTTCACTATTCGCGACTATTCGCTATTCGCTATTCGGGTTTTCCAGACACCCCTACGAAAGTCGAATTAACCACCGAATCAACAAAATTCTTACCTTCTGGTTGCAAGAAAAGTCGCCCTACTTCTCCATATTGTGAAAATATGTTTCTTATTTTAGCTGGTTTCATGAATGGCGGTAATCGACTCATGTAAACCACACCAGGATTTGTTTCTTTCGTCTTTCTTGTCGACGGCGTTTCTTCCATTTCGTCGGCCATATTGAACGTACTGGACGAGAGAGGTCTGAGTACGATTCAGCGGCTTATGTCTTACCGTACACACTTCATGTATGCCTCATTTCAACATTTACACCATTTTCTTTACTCCTTCACACGTGGGGCATCGCCAATTTCACTTGTTTTGGACCGTATATTGTGTGAAATGGCAGACGAAGGATGTATTGAAGGTTTGTTTATTAATTGCAAATATTCCCTTGTCGATCAAGTAAGCAACTGGTCAAGAACAAATGCGTGATCTGACTGAACTACAGACCTTCAAGAAATTAGACGCTCACACTAGTGCTGTGTTTACATGTACTCAGAGGTCTAAAATCCACAATAAGTATTATAAGCGAACTGGAGTTGTCCATTTATTTTAAAGTTAATGGCTACTACCCCGTCACTCCAGATTGTTGAGTTCTAATTCTACCAACTGAAAAGTAATTGGAATAAGCAAAAACAATGTGAGCAACACAACATTGACAAGCTTTATTACATAGAAGAAACCTGCATAAACATCAGAACAGAAGGAAAAAACCGCTTTTTTTCTTTTTGTTGGGATGTACATGTTGTTATGTCGCTCAAGTAACATGTACATGTAGCAATACTTTCAATTGGTCTTGTGGCGGTTTTCGATATATTAAAGTTCAGCTCGGCAGTGAGGCTTAGAGAACACAAACAAAGGAAATTGAATGACATGTTTATTCATTTCTTTTACTTGTGTTCTCTAGGCCTCACTATCAAGCTGAATTTTAATACATGTATATCGAATGTGGCCTATTGTTATGTACATCCTTGGTCAGAGAAACAGGGAGGTGCGAAGAGCTAAGACCATTACCAAGAACATTCCAGTCATTTTAAATATTTCTTGAAACCACAGAGCTGGTATCCCTGAAAAGTGTGTTTTCTTATGCTCAGGTTCTGGTGATGAAGAAATGGAAATATATGATAATGATGAAGAGGGTGATGATGATGGAGATGACGGTATTGAAGTTGAAGATGATGACGATGACAAAAAAGAAGAATCCATGTCACCAGTTAATGGTGCTGGTTCTAGTACAGGTACAGTTGTATTAAGGACTCTCCACAGCTGTCCTTGTGCCATGTTATGCCTCGGACTGTTCTAAATCTAGACAAGTACTTGTCACTAATGTTATATATGCACTGTGTTTGTGTGATGTTGAAATGTTTTCATTTGAAGCTGTACCAACATTGTAGCAATGGTCTGTCCTTCCTCTGTCCTTCCTCTCCCCTCCTCAAAGATACCCATGTTACTACTCAATCCCTGTGTATAATCTCCCTGTGTATAATCTGATCTACTGGAATTCCTAGTGGAAATATGTGTTTTTACTTATTGAACATCAACACTCACACCAGCTTTCAAGCACTCAGTTTGCTAAGTTTAACATGCACATGTTTAAAAAAAATTACAGTGATTTGATCAACATCAGTTTCAATAACCTTCACCCTTTTTATTATGGATGCTTAGACTGTATGCACCTTACATGTGACATGTTTAAAAGTTAAACATGTCCAGGTACACTTCTGATTACTTTATGTACCCTGTCAACCGATTATGACAAAGCAAACTTTGAATTTCAGGGAAAAAGAAGTCAAAGTTAAAGACCAATAAAGAGGAAAAGACCAAGGTACACTGTTGTCATGTAATCTGTAAATGTTAAGTAGTGTGTTGTTTGAAAGGAAGGGAAATTTTTTGGTTGCACGAAATTGCCTATGAGATACCCTCTGATCTACTGGGAAGGTCTTTGGTAATTCCAAGAGGATGGGAGGGGGTGGTAGAAAGCCCCTGTAGTAAGTTTAAAGGAGAATATGAAGCTAAAGTGGAACTCTTATCTGGTTGGGAGAATGGTCAAGCCAAAAGACAATACAGAAAGGGTACGGATGTTACTTGAATTTTCTGAACCACACAAATTTAGTCTTGAAAGCTATGCTTTTTAATTGTATTTTCATCTTTTTTTTTTTTTTTTTTTTTTTACTAAAATAATTTTGATATCAATCAATCCAAAACTCCAGCATAAATCTCACTTAAAAGTAATGTAAATTACTGAAAAAGGTCTCAAAGTTGCGGACATAACGTAATGTCNTTTTTTTTTTTTTTGCTTACTAAATCATGCAAAACTGACAGAAACTACAGAGTGTAACATGGAAGTTCTCTTCTCTCTCAGTTCTCCCTTGGTCATGTTTAACATGTAACTCAATTGATTTAAAGTTCATTCTCATGGATTTCCTAACTCATGATTTGGCAGAAGTTCAGCTGGTGATAACAGTAAGCTACACAGACATGCAAAGAGAGAATTCTATTAACAATAGTTTCTTGTGACCTCATTAGGTTTTTCTTCCTGGAGATGAGTTAGAAGAAGGGGATGAACTGACATATGACAGATCAGCCTATGAAATGTACCATGCTGTAAGGCAATCTGCTGTTTGTGTCAACAAGTAAAATTCATTTTTACTAGCTCACTTAAAATTTACAGTGTATATTGACAATGGCATGCCTTTTTATTAAAGGATCAGCTTCATGTCTGTCAAGAATAGATGATGTACCACATCCAGTGGCAGATCTAGACCTTGAGCCAAAGGGGGGGGGGATTTTTTTTTTTTACACAAAATAAGAGGGGGGCTGGCCCCCCAAGCCCCTTCCCTAGATCTGCCACTGACATCTTGAAAATTGTTAACACTAGATGAAAAAATGGATTTGCTGAAATTTGCCTTGAGGAAACATTCTGTAAAAGGCCAGAGTAAATTTGTAGCAAAAATGGTAAATGCCACATTTGCCACAGATTCACTTAGTTAAAAAACTCATCGTTCTTACAATGTATGTGCATGAAATCTGCCCCAATCATCTTTAGTTACTGTTCTGTCTGCTTTTTTTTTTTCTTTTTCCATAGTAACAGTACTGTGGTCAACCTTTAGCCAGCTTTCTGATAGGTCTTAAAACTCTAATAAATATAGAACATGTGCATGAGTACAATCATGTGTCTTTATTTTGTTAATATTAACTTATCAAGCCCACAGGATGGGGATTTTATTGTTCTATTCATGCTCTTTTTTAGGCTCAAACAAATGCTCCTTGTCTAAGTTTTGATGTCATATCAGACAGCCTGGGAGATTCAAGAACAGAGGTGAGGGTTAAATTACAACACAGAAAAAAAATACAAATCATCTATAAGACATATCTGGGTACATAGTGTCTCTGAATGAAAAGTTAAGTTTTTACTGTTGGCTGGCCCCATAATGTGATATATAACTGAAGTACTCACCTGCGATCTGTTATTCAAATGACATGCTTGTACATGCACCTGAATTTGGATCCAAGATTAGCTTTCAAACATCATCAACAATTCCAGTTTCCCACCTGGTAAAATAGGTCCTTTACCTTGGGTCATAATACCTTGTAGTAGTGATCAGATGTGTGGTTTAATGACCTTAGAGCTATGTCCATACCGCTGGCCTCTGGACAGCTACCTACACTGTACTTGGTTCAGCCTTGCCAGATTGGTGTACTTAAGGTTAGAGTTAAAAGAAAGAATGACCCCCTGCTCTTGCAGAAAGTTGGTCGACTGAGAGACCCTGGTAATGAGGTTGGTAGTAGGTCAGGCTTGAGGCTAACCACCCCATCCTGTAATTTACATGTAACACAGTTGATTAAACCATCCAGCTTAAACCATCCCTAAACAGCTAGGCATTGAGCGATATTGAGTTACTAAAGGCTAAAAGAGGTTAGCCATTTGTGTTGTGAAGGCTTTAACCAGGTGCAATTCTGTTTTCCAGTATCCAATGACAGCATACATTGTGGCTGGAACCCAGGCACCACCAGGAAAACAAAATCATGTCATAGTCATGAAGATGTCTCAGTTAGACAAGACTCTCCAAAATGAAGAGGAAAGTGAGTGAAATGGAACATCCATTGGCTGTGCTTAATCTCAGTTTTGATTGTTTCCTGTTAAAATCTGCTTCCGGTAATTAATTAAAATCTGTTGATATGTACCAGGTGATTCTGATGATGAGTTGCTGGATGAAGAACCAGATTTAGATACAGCCATGTTGAACCATGCTGGTGGTGTTAATAGAATTCGGGTAAGGTTGTAGCTTGATTATAATTCAATTGATATGAAAAGTAATTTTAAATTAAGGTTTGAAAGAAATCAAGCTGAACCCAATCAAATTTCACATTTAGTCTTTCTTGGGGTGGTGGAGGGTTATTTAGAAGGATGGCAAAAGTTATCTTCAGTAGCATACGGTAACTGCAGCTGCAGCTCTAGACTTACCCTATGTTTTAAATGTTTTATTCATGGGAAAAGTCAGTTTTGAGAAAAAGTCTGGTACTTCCCATTAAGAAGTTTCCATCCCTTGTACTACCTAGGAATGTGATAATATTACAACACCTTATTATCCAATTTTTGCTCTATTATCTGTCAAGTGGTCGCTTATGGGAGGTTAAAAAAAAGAAAATTTCAAACTCTCTAAATGTGGTTGTGGTTGATTACAAGAGGTGGTTGCTTACAAGAGGTTCCAAATATAGTGATTTGACTTGGAAACTTTTGGTATTTTGGAAAACTGGTTNAGTTTCGAGAAAAAATCTGGTACTTCCCATTAAGAAGTTTCCATCCCTTGTACTACCCAGGAATGTGATATATTACAACACCTTATTATCCAATTTTTGCTCTATTATCTGTCAAGTGGTCGCTTATGGGAGGTTAAATAAAAGAAAATTTCAAACTCTCTAAATGTGGTTGTGGTTGATTACAAGAGGTGGTTGCTTACAAGAGGTTCCAAATATAGTGATTTGACTTGGAAACTTTTGGTATTTTGGAAAACTGGTCGCTGAAGAGAGATGGTCGCTTACTAGAGGTGGTCTCAACCAGAGGTTTGACCGTATATGATCTGAGTGTGGTAGTTCTAGATTTCTGTAGCCTCAATTGGCTATTAAGATCATACAACACCTTTCTTGTCAGTTTTCATCTATCCCTGACCGGCACATTGTAGCAACATGGTCTGAGAGAGGCAAGGTTCACATCTGGGACACCTCACAGCAAGTTATCTCTGTTGATAACCCAACGACTGCCGCAGGAGCAAGCCATTCAAAAGATGTCAAGCCACTCTTCACATTTGATGGTCATCAGGTAATCTAGTGCACAAAATAAAATAAATAAAAATTATGTTATTTGCACTAATATTCAGAATTGAATGCAAAAGCTCTTGATTAAAAAAAAAAATACATTCTTGCAGGGTAGCTAACCTACTGTACATGTAGTCCTAAAAGATCAGATCCCTCATCTGCCAGCTTGGTCAGGCTAAATAATTCCTGCCAGGCCTTCTCAGCAGCTTCTCAGCAGCTACTATTAATAAATAATACTGAAAAAATAGCTTCTCAGCTTCTCAGGCCTTCTTGTACACCTTTGCCAAAGGATTTTAATTACTCCACTCTATCCGTTTTTGGGTTTTGTGCAGGGTTTTGTGTGTTAACTTAAAATTATCAGTGTGTGGTTTTGGGCGATGAAGAAACTATTTTAGACTTAAACTTAAAAGCCTTTTTTCTGTCATTTGCTGCATACTAACTCATCATGTACATGTTGTTTTGTCAAGGTTGAAGGATTCGCTATGGACTGGTCTAGAACTGTACATGGGAGGTATGAATATGTCACAATGCTATAAATTCAAATTGATTTCTCTTTGATTACAGTATATATATTCACTGTTTCTTTCTATGTGAAGTAAAATGTTCTGTGAAGACTTTTATTAATAGTAGGTTGATATGGAAAAGGTTGGATGGGGAAGGGCTTGCATTTATAACAGGAGGGCCAGTCAAGAGTATGTTTTGTCAGCAGGCAGATATTAAAAGCCTAATATATGTTAACCAGAAAGGGGAGTTGTGACAGGGTTTACAGTATTTCTTATTCATTGTGCAGAGGTAGTACTGCAGCTCTTTCTGGTATTTTTCTTCACACTTTCTCTTCTGACAGGTTAGCAACTGGTGACTGTAAGAAGAATATCCATCTGTGGACTCCAGTGGAGGGGGGCACATGGCATGTTGATCAGAGACCCTACAGTACACACACAGACTCTGTGGAGGACATACAGTGGAGTCCAAATGAACAAAATGTAAGAGCCAACAGTTGTGAACTTCAATTCTACTCTGTTAACCATCCAGGAAACACCCACGGGCTTGGTAGTACCCAACTTTCACCAGTGCTTTACAGCGACTCTTTAGAAACTAGAAGAAATCCAGGGCGAGTCTTACCTTGTACTGACTTGTGTGGTCATCAGTGGGGACAAAATAATGGATGACAAGTAATGTTGTCCGAGTGATGATCCAGAAGTGACTCAGCACCAGATTCCTTTCATTTCTAAAGCGACGTGAATTGAAACCAAAGAAAATGACGTAGATGTATTTACCTTCAAGATTATTTCGAGTTATGGCAGATGGTTTAACCAGTGCTAGGCACCCATCTTTTTTGTGAACAGTCATAGAAACTTTGGTATAATCTGTCTGAAATAGAACCAAGGCCTTCATCAGAGTAGTTCATTAACTCCATGCGTGAATTTTACTGCATTGCTTTAATCAGTTGCACTTGATTTTGATCTCAAAACTTATGGTGATTTTTATATATTTATTTTAATTTCTGTGTTTGTCAGGTATTTGCATCATGTTCAGTGGATAAAACAATAAGAATATGGGATGCGAGAGCAAAACCCTCTAAAGCCTGCATGCTGACCACGCAAGCACACGACGCTGACGTAAATGTGATCTCTTGGAACAGGTTAGGATTGCATGCACGAGTTCTTTGTTTCAGTGGAGGAGGCTGCGAAGCTGCAAGGAGCCTCGTGGCTTCGCAGCTCGTAAAATTCCCTCGTGGCGTCGCTCCTGACGTCGTCCGTGGATCCGCCGTCAAAGCAAAGAACTCGCTCGATAAATTCCAGCAGCTAGGCAGGTTATAGTACTTAGTCAAGACGGTTTGAGCCGGGACAAATTTCTGATCGGGGAAATTCCTTAGCAACATGAAGTACATGTATCGTGGCGAAAAGCTGACGTGACGCCTTTCGTTCTTATTGTATGGCTTTTGATTGGTTAATAATCATCGGAACCTCTTCGGGTTCTTCAACGAGAATCTGCCGAAAAGGCCGCATGTTGCCATTGCCAGGACGGCCTACCCTTAGAAAATCTAGGAAATCGTTTTTATGCCATATGACCTGTACGTCTACAGTTCAGTTTAAATTTACATTTTGGCCTTTTTTCCTTGCAGAAATGAACCGTTTATTGTTTCTGGAGGTGATGATGGTGTTGTAAAAGTTTGGGATCTCCGGCAGTTTCAAAGGTAATGTATAACTACTGGGAAGTTCTGTACAGTTATGTACCTCTGTTTGAACCTGAGGTACTGGGAGACTGGCTCTGACTGTGTGTCTATAACGTATCTGTATGTCTCAATAGTGGTGTGGCAGTGGCGGTTTTCAAACACCACACAGGTCCCATTACATCAGTTGAATGGCATCCAACAGACAGTTCAGTGTTTGTCGCGTCTGGCTCAGATAATCAAGTCACTCTGTGGGACTTGGCAGTGGAGAGGGACAACGAAACAGAAGGGAAAGGAAGACATCTGGATGTTCCTCCACAGCTACTGTTCATTCACATGGTATGCCAACTTAGTTTGCTTGCGAAAAAGAATTCTTTCGGTTTGTATACTTGGACTTTCCCGCAGTTGGAATGGTTTGAACTTTGCACGTAAAGAGTTAAAGGGTGTGGACGATGGACCAGGGACGGATCTAGGGAGAGGGTGCAGGGGTGCGCACCCCCCCCCCCCCCCCCCCCCCCCCCCCCCNTGCCCTCCCTCCTAAGCAAAATCCTGGATCCGCCCCTGTGGACGATCGAAGTTCGTAGTTGGCTTCGTTGAGGAACTGTGAGAAACGATGTTGAAAAAGTAATTTGCTATTTTGGGAGATTTTTCACAGCATACTTTGTTCCTGCAGAAATTTGATGATCTTGAGGGGAACACAAGCTAAAGGCAATTACAGTAATTAATTAAAGTGAAAGTGAAAGCTAAAGGCAATTAAATTAATTAGAGTCAAAGTTAAAGTAAAAGTTAAAGTTCACTACAAAGATCAACGACGTTGACGGAACCATAAGGTTCTAAAGACAAAGTTTATCTCAAATTAAGCCGCGTTAGGCAGTGCGTGCTATTGAGTTGTACGATTTCTATCGTTTAAAATCCCTCTAATGGACCTTCCAGTAGCAATCAAAGTCACGCGTGCGCATTAACGTGACACACGCCTTCTACTTCATGGATGGAGCTTCTTGAAAAATGTCAACTAGAAAATTTTTAAGTTCTTATTTTCATCATCCATCGAAATCTTCTCCGTCTTTCCTCGGGAAAAGAAACGAGAAAAAACAATGAATTTAGAATACCAGGATATCAATATCAGAGAATGAATATGGCATGAAGACACACGTCTGTAAAATTCGACCCTATAGCGCTACATCTAGGCAATGAAAAGAAGGGGAAATTTCCTAATAGTTCATGCACGTAACTTTGAGTTGTACAACTTCGTTCACATGCACTGATGTTGTTACCATGATCTCCTTTCAGGGCCAGAAAGATATCAAGGAGGTGCATTGGCATCACCAGCTTCCAGGTGTATTAATAAGCACGGCTGAAAGTGGCTTCAATATCTTCAAGACGATCAGTGTCTAGTTGCAGAGAAAATGTCATCTTGGTGTCGTGCCTGCCAGTATCACTCAGTGCTACGCCATTTGTATTACTTCCCTGGAAAAGCATTCAGAGAAACTGAACAAGAAGAAGAACTTCTTCAGTTTCATACTGAGGGCCGCCTAAAATTCAGTTGTATCGTCCAGAAATGATTTTAGTTGGAGGAACCGTTTTACACAGCCATACTATACATTGTCCTCGGTGGATTTAAGAACTCGGCGGATTCATAGCGGGAAACTCTACATGGTCGTCACCTCAACGTGACCATGTATAACGACAGTGGTAGCTTTTAAATTATATTATCTTTTAAAATTATCATGCATCTGATGTAACAAGCGCAAGGATAGTGCAGGGTACCTTGCGAGACCAAGATTCCCTTCTCTTTCTGCTCGGTAAGGGAATCTCTGTCTCGTAAGGCAGGTACTGGAAGAATACGGGCCTGAGGACTTGAAAGTAAAAAGGCCAAGGGCGGATAATCTCCCAGTACAGTCCTGAGCAAGCTTGGTCAATAAGAGATTTATTACACGACTGAAATGTATAGAAAAAATCCCACGATCACGGACTAGAAAGACACCGTGCTACTCTGGTTGAGAGCCGACTCGCCCTTCAATCAAATGTCACGTTAAAAAAAAAAACACTACAACTCGGATTGTTTTACAATCCAGCAAGAGGTTAACTTTGTTCCTTAAATACGAATTTTATTAAAGACAGGCTTACCTTTTATTCTGTATTACATGCAACTAGGCAAGTATAGGATCAAATGAATGTGTATATTAACTTATTCTGAATGGAATGAACGCGACGATATAGCGATTGTATTGGTGACCTTGACTGCAATGTAGTAAACAAGAAATAGCAATGTCTTAACTAGTGCTTGTTTTTATCTTGTTTGTCAATTAATTAATTTATCTAATTCTACGTTTCATAACCTTTCTATTCAACAATTAGACTACGAGCCTGAATTTTCTATGAGCGAATATACGAGCCGTAGCCCAGTTGACTATCGCTCATAGAAAACTAGGGCGAGTATGCTAATTGTTTTAGTTCAAAGGCTTTAAAGGATGACTGTGCAAAACCTTCAATTCTGTGTATTTCTGGGCCAAAACTTAAGAATAATTTTCAGTTTCAATTTCTTTCAAGAGCAGCACGGGCGAGATCGTTGTCTATCAGCGATTATAATTCACCAACAAGTTTTCTCCGATTCTTATTGGTTTAAATTGATCACGTGACGCGTTAGTTTTGCCCATATAGCCCGTCCGAAGTAAATACCCGGATGGATAGTACTCGTCAGTAAATTTTTTCCGCAGACAATCGGCTCATAGGAAAAAAATTAAAAGATTGATTGATCTGCATTTAGTGGGGTTTTATCTGTTTTCTTTTTCAACTTTGACATCTGACTTGCACGCTTTTCATCTAAAAAAATTGAAAATAATTCTATATGACTTCTGAATTGGCGCGCGGAAGAAAAGTTAGGGATGAAAATAAAGACACTGGAGATTATGATCTGATCATAATCTCATGAGACACTAGTCTTATAACCTCTTGGAAATTTGATGTTAACATTAGCGTATTTATTTAGTTTCAAAAACATCAAATTTCCGCGGGGCAACTATCGGCTGATAGTTCTCGACAGAAACACTCTTTTAAATAGAAATCGACGCGGGAACCAATCAGATTCACACTACGCCGGAGAAATTTGAAAATGCGGCTTTATTCATACGGTTGGGGAGAGGGGTTAGGCCTACCGTCCACACTAACCCGTCACGAAAACGGAGCTTTTCGAAAACGCTCTTCAAACCGGAGGAATTTGAAAGCGCCTGTATTTCGTTTTAGTGGGGAAAACATTTTTTAAAAGGAAACTGGAGCTTTTCGAAAACGATGACGTCACGTTAAGACCGATAATCATGTGATTTATGATTTCCCTGTCCAAGGTTTCCTCGAACACAAATCCAAAATGAGCGACGATTGTTGCCTTTTCAAATTCCTCCGGTGTAGTGTGGACGGACATTTGATGCGTTTTCAGAGTGAAAACGCCGTTTTCAAATTCCTCCGGCGCAGTGTGGACGGGGTCTAATGATATAACCATTTGACTCCTCGCCCTCGTTTTCTTTGAGCAGATGGTCAAAGAGGCGTAGCCCAGTTGACTATCGCTCATAGAAAACGAAGGCGAGTAGTACAATTATGTTAGCAGACACTCAAGAGGATTAGTCTTAAGACTTTTTTCTTGGACAACACTCGCGATGGTTTGGAGTAGCCCTAAGTTTGGCAGGGTTTCACGTTTTATCAACGATTTTAAAGCCACATAACTCAACTTTCCAATTTGTATTTCTTTTATTGATAGGACTAATAACAAACTTCCAAAGAAAGGATAATGAGACATCTTTTTCATGTTCTTATGCTAGTGCTCATGCTTGCGTCGTTGCAGTTTGCAAGTACAATCATTGTTGTGCTATACCAGTGGCGGATCTAGGGGAGGGGCCGGGGGTGGGGGTGGGGGTCCTCCGCAGAAGGAAGAAATGCCGGCAGGGCAAGCAAAATAAAACCGGGCCCCCCCTTGGCTAGAGGTCTGGATCTGCCACTGTATACGCTCAGGGGTTAAACTCAAGTTGACATAATAGTAACCAGGCTAAAGCTTAACTTTGCTTCAGAACTGATACTTCCAAAATTCCAGCTGACTGTCATCATCTCACGTAATATTACTTTTGTCCTGTAAATTTTATTTCCTAAAAATACATAGTTACTGTGCCTTCGTTATCATGACATTTACTTTGAGGTAATCTTTGCTTACAACATTGTTCAAATTTTTTAGACATTCCAGTATACCAACACTAGTTTATATACTGTACAATTCGCAACTTTACAACAAGAAATACATGTTATTCAACATTCGACATATTCCTTTTGTATTTGCTGCAGCTACCAATACAACATCAATTTATCACATCTTACAGCTGTTAGGATAATTTAGGCAGAAAAGAAATAATGTATTAACTAAACAAAGACCATCCTTCACATTACATAAGTTTCGTTACAAGTACATCTAACAGTTTTTTTGTGTCAGGCCCAGTTCACGTGTCGTGCTTCTGTTGGGACCAACTTAATCCAGGAATTAAGTTCGACGAAAGCACAGCAGAAGCATAACATCTGAATCAAACTTTTGAATTAAGTTCAGCAAGCAATTAAGTTCAACAAGCTCTGCCGTGCTACACAACTCTGGCAAGGCAGCAATTCAAACGTTGTGCTTTTGCCTTGCCAAACAAAAGTCATAAATTATATTAATGTATTTTGCTGGGGTTGCATTCCAGCAGGGAGCTACGATGAGAATTTTATGTGGCTTCAGTAAATCCTGAATTTGGTACGACTTTGGCACAACGTCTGAATCGGAGTCGTGTTTCCGCAGTGCTACAGACGAAGCTAATTGTAATCAAGTCCAGCACGGCAAAAGTCTGAAGTCTGAACTGGCCTAGCCTGTGTCACGGCCACGGCTGTAAGACAGGTTAAGCTGGGCCTAAAGTTACTCAATATATGACTTCTACGACAAGGTTTAAAATAAAACAATATCATGTAATCAGACTAAGAGAAAATGGCCATCATTTTGCAGTTTCATTATAAAAATCCTTTATGACTGCACTTTCTTTTGAAAAGATTATTTATGGCTTTGACCATTTACATAAACCTGTAGACCTTTTAACGGTTTTCTTTTAAAATTCAACATCTAATTTCCGTACAATACAGGTATATCTAATGTGACAAGTAATTAGAATAAAGAGAATACCCAGTAACTGTACCCTGGGAATAAAAGTGCTAACTTTATAATAGGGGAAGACTTACTACTTTCAGAGACATTAGAAGTGGTTACAATCCACTTCTTGCTTGCCATTCATGTAACTACATTTTCTCTTCACAAAGTATAGTTCATTCTATGTTCTATACTATACAGATTACTCATTAATTATAACCATACAGCTGCAATGCACACCATAAATTCTATGATCCTCCTCCTCCACCGCCGCCACAACAACCTCCTCCACCCTGTCGCTGGGCGGGTTGTTCATCTACTATTACCACATTCTTCCGTCTGTTATTTCCTCTCTCTACCACACCATCACGTGCAACTTTAGCATCACTTTTTTCTTGTCTTTCCAACATTTCTTCAATAGGAAAGAAAAGATCACAGCAAACACACATTATTGGGCATTCTTTACACAGCACAAAGTAAAAGAGGTGATTACATGAACCTATATATTATACTTTTTGGCTACATACAGCTCATTTTCTATTTTAATGTGGCTAAATGTAATTTAGGCTAAGTTAAACGTGAAACGCGAAGATTGCTGGCCAGCAGTTTCCCTCAGACTGAGTTTGGGGTGGCCGGGAGATTTGTGCAGGGGTGCCTGGATTTGATAGCTCGGCTTTGGATGTCAAATCATTCTGTGTGTTTTTCACTGCTAGACAGTTCTCGTTAAGCTTTTATCCCAGCCTTGGCTTGAGGGTAAGAATGTGGTAAGTATCTTGTGTTTCCACCGTTTTTTTTTTTTCAGTGTGATGGTGCCTGGTGGTTGACACTCACAGGGTTGTCATGGATACCCTATGTGCTCGGTTTTTTTGCTCTTGGGCTCCACCATCCTTTCAAGCACCATTCCCCAAGCTCATCATTTGTTGATGAGTTTAATTTTTCTAACAAAAGCAAATCACTGAGACAGAGAGGTGAAAAGTGCAGTGTTATGAAAACATTTCCTTAAATGCAACTTTGTTGGAGGATGGAACTTGGCCATAAATTAAATAAGAGTCATTCCAACAAAATAAGTCATCACTGTATTTTAAAATAACATACATATCACTACTAAAATGTTTACTACACACGTTAATAAGTTTTTGGTTTCAATCAGCAGTTTATATAGTTTCCTTTTTAATCAAATTAATATCAACAATTCTGACTGATGTCATGACTGCATCTAAACATATGATGACCATATTGCATGAAATAAGCTACAAGGGAACACTCACGTTTTGATAGCTCAAAGAACATTTCTTCAATGCCCTTATTAAGTTTTGCTGATGTATGGAAGTGTTTTGCCCCTACTGTCTTGGCATATCTGAAATGGCGAATCACAGAACACCTCTTATAAATAACAAATTACTGGTTTGCATGAGTTGGAGGCTTAAGAGGCAAATGTTTGAAAAAAATCTGAAGGTGGCTTGGGCTTTACATGTATGCTCATCTGTACATTTGCCATCTTCAATATGATAATGCTACAAACATTCTCATGTGTGTGCTGCAGGAGTGGATTAATTCATGCCGTACTTCAGTCAGAAAATATCTTTAATCTTTAATCATTTTTTTACGCGGTAAAAATTCATCAGGTATGATAAATTACAATAAAATGTCTACGATCCTAAACCTAAAATTCTATTCCTAATATTATATTAACTTACAACAATATTCTTAATTCAAGTCACCGGACTTTTAGTCAGGTGATACAACCCTTATTTCCAACAATCACTTGTTATTTTTCGAAGATGTTGACAGTGTCTGGGTCAGCCAATTTTGATTCATAATAATTTAAATATTAATTTTAGTTTGTTCAGTGTCACAAGAAGATACATGTATCTTTAACTACTTAGTCTATAACAAACTTACGCATCTGCCTCTGATGCATCAACATGTCTGTCTTTCTCAAGGTCGATTTTGTTACCTATAATAATTACAATTAAATGGGTTACTTGAAATAATACCTAAAATTGTGGCATACAAAATTAATTTTAGAGTCCATGTTTATCATTCAACAAAACAGAAAAAATCTATTACGTACCTGCTATACAAAGTGCAATATCTTCTCCTAACATTTTCTTTAGCTCTTTGACCCAGTTCTTTACCTAACAAGGTTAGCCAAATAAATTAACTTAAATGTTCATGGACCAAATGCCTGTGAACAGACAATACAGGCCCTGCTAAAAACACATTCACAGACAGTTAGATTGGTCTTCAATTGGGTGTCAAAAGTAATCAGGCAATTACTTTGGTATTGGTTTTGGTTTTACTATGGTTTGAGATTGGCTGAGTAGCCTAAAGGCTGGTTTCCACTAGCGCATAAGCATAAGCTGACA